GGGGGTGGGGTGGGTGAGTTGCTCTAGTTTCTGAAACTCTGCCTCTCAAAAATCTTTTGCCTTGCCTATTACAATTAAGCTATTGTTTTGCTTAGGAAAGTGGCCTGACTTAATTCAGGTTTGTGCCTCAGAATAAACTGAAATGATTAATAGCTCTGTGTGTGCTTAATGATGTGAGCCCTGCAGCCACTAAAGCACCTGTCTTAGTGTGTAAGCAGCCAGGGTTCACTATTGTGCATGGCTGGAGATTCACATAACAAAAAAGGCAATTAGACAATGTTAGGGATTTGAAGCAAACTATCAATGCAGGGAAATTGCCAGGGAAGGATTAGTTAGTTATCTCTTGCCTGATAAAAGCAGGTATCAATGGAAAACTCTTATATTGTTCTTCCACAGAGGCTCCATATAGAAATTTTAATGTCTAATGAAGACTACCACGGTTAAGCTCTGAAAACAAAGACCTGGAAAGTTGAAAGTGTGCTTAAATTAGCATTTCAGCTACCCTTTCAGATCACTCCTAAGCCTGTGAGTTGCTGCTAGTTTGAGCCGTGACTCTAATGGCAACCTGTTGTGTCCAAACAGAAAATATTCCGTGATTTTAGCATCATCTTTGTGGATTAAAAATTACTCCAAAAGGATGGTCTGCATTGTTTGGGTTTTGAAAGAGTTGCATTAATAGTATTGCCTTATCGTGGGTCTTAGAAGTTACGTATTCTCTTTCTTGTGTCTGTTCTGTAAGACATTGAGCACACCTCCTAACTCGCGCTGCTCCTTCTGGCCGGACAGCTTCTCTGTGTGTGCAGTAATTGGTTTTGAAGTTTGCTCCATCAGCTGCTTCGCAGAGCAGCTTTCTGCGTTGGTTGGTTATTTTGATCAGTCGTGAGAGCGATGGGCTGGCTGGCTGATTGCTGAGGTGTTCCTTCTGGCTGGGTGACAGGCTTGCTGGCTGACCTCGGCCAACTGGCTTTAACTCTGGTGGGGGATAGTTGCTAATATTTTCCAAGGCATCTAGGTGATTTAGGAGCCCACGGCTCACCCTGAAGGGGGTTGATGCATTTGGAAAATGTTACCCTATTAAATTCACCCCAAAGGGATACAGCGTAGGCTAATTTATGTTTGTAAGACAGCTTGGGGTCTTGGATTCCTGTGATGTGAGTGTCTTGCACTTTCCTCTTTGTACAGAGGCAAACAAGATCCATTCCTGTGGTGGTTTCATCAGACAGTCAGGCTGTACTGAGTCTACATCTGCTGATAAGAAAGCAACTTCTAGATAAATCATACAGGCATGTCTCTGAAGCCTAGGAATAAGGACTTCTGGCTCCAACAGCAAAATCCTGGGCTGCCTGACCTAAGGAAGGCCGCCTGCTGCTCTGGTAGTAATCAATCCGTCGCCCTTCCTCTGGCACTGCCGACGGGGGGCGTATCACAAGGGCTCAGAGGGCTTTGGCGAGGGTGGCAGCAGGCCGCAGAAGCAACAAAAAAGTGGCTGCCCTGTCGGCTGCGCGGGGGTCGCTCGTGCCCCATCAGGCACCTGGGGGACAATGAGTCACGGGGGCTCTGCTCTTGGCTGATGCCCTCGATGGCTGAAGAGAGGTACTGAGACATCTGGAAGAAGGTTGAGAGAGGCGCACCATGGCCCCAGTGGGAGAACACAAGGTTCTAACAACAGGGATGAGATGTGCGGGGGACCTGGCCATGCAAGAGAAGGCTCTATCTGTGTGTTCTTCATACTGACGTTATTCTTTAAATATCCTTATATTCTCTCGCTGCAGAATAGGAATAGTGGCCATGCCTGAGGCGACCGGCATGTGTCTGTGGTGCTCCTTGCGGCATCTAACCGCCCTTCTGTCCTCGCAGAAAATCATTAATTAAATTTAAATGCCTCTCACTGAATTTCCCGCACGGGTCTTTTTATGTATTAAGCTGGTCATTAGGGTTTTTGTGGCTTGCATGTAGTTATACTGCATGAATTCTTTAATAAACCATACAGAGGACGAAAGCCTCTGTATGAGAGGGGCTGAGTGGCTTCTCTGTGGGTGTCTGAAGTGAATGAGAGGTGAGGGAGAAAGGAAAAGATTAAGAAGTAATTAAAGGATAGAGAGAACGATAAATAAGGAAGAAAGGAAAAGATTGTGAGGCATATTGCTGATGCGTTTTAAATTTGAATTTGGGCAGTCTTTTTTACACACTGAGGGGGAAGAAGAAGTTGGAGGGACCCTTGTTTGCTATTATTCTTTCAAATTATAATCAGTGGTGCCTTGATTATACACCATTCTGATTGCTGTGGTCTAGTGATTAGAGCATAAAACGTGGAGACAAAAAAATATGCTGCTTTTCATGGCTGTAAAGGACTTGCTGGGTGGTTTTGAATGAGTTATTTCACTTCACTATGCCTCATTTTCCTGATCTGCAAAATAGGGATATTAATGCCTATTTTTGTGAAGGCAGTCTGAGAAACTTAAATGGAAACTTCTGTATAAATGTCAAGTATCATTATTATTGTTCTTAAACTAATCCATTGTAGTCAACTGCTTTTATAGTTTTTATGAAAGCAAATACAATGGGAGCCACATAATTGGCTGCCTAACAATGTTGTTTTAATTAGAAGAAGACAAAAAGTGTCTGAAGAATGCAACAGTGGGTTGCCTTTTTCATCAGCTGCAAAAAAAAAAAAAATCTGCTAGAACTGAACCATACCATACCAGGTAATAAAGTTACTCTGAAGTATATGTGACACACTGATCAGAAGTAACAGGCTCGGTCAATTTTTTGGTGCACATTTGGTTCACTATTTGCCTGGCACAGTCCAAGATTTTCAGTTATTGTTGAGCACGTAAGAAGAAGTATAAAAATGTGAAAAATGTATGTGCTTAATTCTTTGCCAGCATCTCAGAGATGAAGTTTCCTCAGGCTGTTATTTTAAAATCCTAATTTTTTTCAGTTCAATAGTTTTTAATGTCTGGCTTGTACACCTTTGGAAACAGCTAGGATAACAAACACTGACGCTCCCTCTCCTTGGTGAGCTGCGTGCGACCCATCTTTTAATATGATACTGTTAGAACAAGGTAATGGAACTAAACTGGGAAAATGTAAGTCTCATTACTCTTCACATTTGCCTAAATCCTGCTTATCTGAAAGGTAATCCTGCCTCTGCCAATTCACCCTGAGGGTGGATAGTCCCAGTGATTCAGCCCAGGGCCACATGCAGAAGGCTTTATCAGTAGGGGTACGCTGTATGGCAGGATGCTCTTAATCCGGGACACTGATTATTCTAGTAAAATTGAATGTTTGCCAGTCTAGTTTATTCTTTTTCCCCTGAATTTATCCTGACAAGAACAGGATTTTGCTGGGGTAACAGTGTTTATTTTGTCATGGAGGAAGGGCAATGTTTGGGTTTTTTTTAAGACAGAGCAATGTTGGTTATAGGTAAAGTGTCTTCATACATCTCAGTGATTTGGCAAAATCTGTTCTGTAGTCTTGGCCTTAACACGACCCCAGAGTGAGTAACTTGTGACCTGTCTGTCCGCATCAGCGTCAGTACTGCTGCCTTCTATAACAGCCCAATTAAGATAATTTTATGGTAGCTGTAGGAGGACTCAGTATCTGTAAGGCAGTCTGAGTGGAGCAGTCCTGGCTGTTCATTTTTGGTCCCCAGAGACTATGTTGCAACGACTGCCTCTTCGAAGTGCTTTCCTCCACCAGGCAGCACAAGCCTGTTTTCTTCAAGCTCATCTTCAGCCAACTCCTCTTTGTCTGTGAGCTCTTTTGCTCTAAACCCAAGGCTGTTCAGGGACAGGTATTACATTATATGCTTAGCGAGATGGGAAGAGCAATGTGACACCTGGATGCTGCTGGCTTTCTAAGATGATTAACATAGTGCTGGTATTACAATAATTACACTGTAGCACGGAAACACTCAACTCTGTTTCCTGCAAAGCCAGGTCCATTCAGAAGAAAAGTTTTAATGACATTAGAGAGCCAGTTTGGAATGAGGCTTTTTGTTTGTTTGTTTATTATTATTGTTGTTATTAATTTTTGAGGATATTTGTGAGGACTGATCTTTTTTTGCTTACTCAGACCCCAACTGTTGTTGTGAGTGCATTAAGACTTTGGGAGAAGGCAAACTATTCTTTTTTCTAGGACAAATCTCACATGCTGGATCTTTAGATTTTATCTTTTCATCCTGATGGTGAAAAAAATTACACTAAATATATATTAATATGATTTTTTTACTTAAAAAAATAATCTAGTATTGCATTTGCATTCTGCCTGTGAATGGTTAGCATGAAACCTTGTCCTTGGGAATATGGGACTGCTCATCCTCTCAGTGAAGCTAAGAGGACTTTTTTATATGTGACAGCACTGGGAAACAAGACTATTTTTCAGGGAAAAGTACAATAAAATTCTAGCATGTAATGCTCTTCATCAGAAAACATTTGTAAGAAAAATGCTGAAAACCATTCCTCTAGTTACACTATTAGGTAGGTTTTATTTTCTTTCTCAGTAAGAATAGTGAGTGTACATACAGACAAAACATGCCTTGCTCTGCCATTATTCTGAATTGCTAGTTGCAAATGAGACTGTCTACTCTTGCACTCCTTAGTATGTCTTTTTCAAGTGTAAGAAATGGATAAATGGATTTGACACTTGAGCAAACGGTGTCAGTGCCATTCCACATCAGCAAAAAGCAGAGTCTTCTGAGAAGATGAGATGAAAATGCAGGCGGTCGAACAAAGGAGCCACAGAAAACTCTTCATCTTGAAGAGCTCAACAGACACATATAAAATGAGTTGGCTGAACCTCAGTCCTGTGCCTCGTGGGTTCATCTTTGGGGAAATGAGGTCCAGTATGTTTTTTCCGATTGCAGCACTAGATGCTTCCTCGCACTTCTCTACCGGCCACTTGGGGTGGAAGGCCAAAGTTTGCTTTGCTATGACAAAGCCCAGTTGGACAGCTTTCTCCCAAAACAGACTAAAGTGAATACAGGCCGAGACAATGGGTAAACTATGATGTAAAGTTTATATACAAGAATATAACATTTATCTGGAGTATTTACAAGGTTAATTAAAGCAATATTTTACACCTCTTTCAGGTTAACCACTAGGTATATTACAGTTAGGCTATAGATGGTTTAATTTGCAAAATAATAAAAAAAAAAGCTGCATTCAGATCAACCAGCTCCAAAACTTGTTCATTTTTTCTGTGAGAGAAGGGCTCAGACTTGTGGAAAATAAAATGTGAGAATGGTTAATATACTCTTACTGGTACCTATGTATCACATGCAAGAGTCATAACATGACCTTTATAGTGTTAATATAGATGGCAAGCCATTTCACCTTGGTGAAAGAGTCGTACCCACTGTGACAGGCCAGTCGCACGCGTGGCTGTCTTTCTCTGCATCTCCCACTTCTGCGCAACAAACATGCACATATACAGAGAAGCAGCAATATAAATGAACCAGCGTTACCAAAATGAAAAGGGAAAAACCTCAGACCAAAGTCACATTTGCAACCGTAAAAAAAAAAAAAAGCTTTAAGCAAGATACTTTAATACTTCCCAAAAATAGTCATGTTTTTTTTTTTTATTACATTTTAACCTATGTACAAAAACGGAGGGCTCCCTCCCCTCTCGGAGAGCGGTCACCATGTCTCATGCCCGTGGCATCTCGAGGCTCAGAGGGGCCGAAGCAAGAAGGTGCAGGAGGCCCGGAGAGCTCGGGACAGAGGCGGCTGCTGGCAGTGGGCAGAGCCGAAGCCACTAACACTGCAGTTTGCGGATGCTGCGGGAGAACCGCTTGAAAGCCCGCTGCCCTTTCTGCCACCGCTTCAGCGAGGTGATCACCAGTTCCCCAGCTTGCTTTTGCCCCATCACCAAGTAGGGGACGTTGATGTCATTCATCTCGTCACAGGTACACTGGAGGCCACCTTTGAGCCAGAGCACGATCTTCCTCAGATCCCTTTCCGTCAGCCCATTCAGCTTGTAGATGGTTTTGCTCTTTGTTTCAGGGGTGATCTTGGTATCCCCATTGATGTAGGCAATCTCCTTCACTTTTATCTTCAGGGCTAATAGAGCGAGGGGAGGGGGAAGTGGGATGAGGGAGAGAGATTGAGAGGTTTTTTCCCATTAGTGCACATAAAGAGGACCTGGGGAGGGAGGTGCTCTATTGCTAATTAAACTGTCAGGGCTGACAGAAGAGGCAGCAGGTGGCTCCATTTCTAAAGCCACAAAGGGCATGCAAGTCATTCCAGTTTGAATCAACCTTTGGGTTGAGGGGTTTGGGGGTTTCTTTTCTCCTCTTCCCCCTCCCCCTCTTTTTCCTTCCTTTCTAAATTAGTATTTTCTCTGGCTTTTCTCCTGTTTGCAAACAGAGAGAGGGCAGGATTGCTATGTTAAGCAGCGCTCCGGTTTTTGCTGGGAGAAGACGGTCTTTCCGAAACTAGAGTTTGAAGGGGACGTGGGGAGGCGAGTACCTAGACCTAATCTGAAACCTGATCTCTGCTGTGGCTGAAAACTTCTAAACTTAATTTATTAGGCTGGAGAGGATTTTAGGCAAACCTGTAAGGAAATGATATTTCACATGCATTGTTTTTTTGAAAGAATAGATCCCATGGAGGGCAAATTGGTCCAACAGCTGCATTCGATTTGGTAAAATAACTAGGAGGGGGATACAGGGCTCTGTAAGAATCTGTAGGGCATGTTTAGCTTTAGGAGGATTTATCTGAGTGCAATTTGCCAGGCCAAAGCTATTGGTTGTTTTAACAATTATGTCCCAAAGTCATGGTTTCAGGTTTTGGGTGGTGGCTATTTTTTTTTTTTAAAGAAAGACTTCTGAATTGTTGTAGATATTTATACCACAACGCTGTTTCCAGGTATAAACATTGACCTATTGTAAAAGGATTCTCCTCCTTATTCCCTCTCTCTTGAAATGCTAATGTGTGGATAATGTGCTGTTCAGTTGTCTGTGTTGAAGGGGCTTTCTTGTCCTCTTCTAACCCCAGATCTTCCCATTAAGTTTATATCCCCAATTGTCTGTGCATTACCTTCTCTGTCAACTGATATATAGAGCTTCATTCTTAATCTGCAGAGACAGTCTTTCTTATGATACATGAGATTGGTCATGCAGCTCTTTCTCATACGTCTAAATGAAGCTTTGCTCTACTTCTCCCCAGGCAATAGTCTGGATGAAAGATTTTATTATTTTATTTTATTTTATTTTCTATTCGGCTTGCCAGCAACATTCACATAAAAGAGCACCACTTTGAAACAGCAAACAGAAAAGTACTATAAAATGGGCTGCTTTTTACTCTGAGGTGGAATTTTATGTTTTGTGACCCAACGGTCCGATGGGTCCATCTGCAGATAAGACAAAGCCCTGTTTTTATGCAGGCACATCTCTCACTGACTCCACTGGGACTTTTACCTGATCCTCAACTCTCGAGTTTCAACCGAGGGGGCTCTCCTTCCACTTACCAAAGTCATTTTTGCAGAGGTTTTCCACAATGTCATTATCGTCCTCGTTTTTGTTTTTGCAGGCGTCGCAGACCTTGGGTGCTGGAAATGCAAGGGACAGTCCCTGTCAGGCTCGGGGAGAAGGGAACAGCAGGTGGCGTTGGGAACCCTTCGGGACACGCCGGTTTTCCATCCCTCGATGGACGGACTCGCCCTGAGCCTTCCCCTCTTCGTCCCCGTCCCCTCCCCATCCCTTTGACGCGCCTTACCTTGCTGCGGACCCGCCGGAGGGGGGGCACGGTGTGCTTTTAAGGTCACACCTAAACCAAAAGTTGTTTGGTTTGGGTTTTTTTTTACTGAGGAAATGGTAAAGGGGGGGGG